TGTATGGTATTGAACACGTCTTCTGTTTATAATATCTTACTCGTTTCAATATCTGATGTTCTCCTAGAACATCAAATAATCTTAAACCAACATAACCAAGTGCTTAGTTTTCTCACAAGTAAGCCAATTTCAGGTTGGAAAAAACTATTACACCAGAAGAAAAGTCAAGGCATTAAGTCAAATGCAGGTATGATTTATTGGCAGTTTTACTTAGCAGTTTGATTTCAATCTGAGGCAGCTTTTTGCTCAGTCCATTCATTTTGCTCACTGTGTCAAGGCACCGAGGGCACCTAGGTGAACAACACAGGACTCCAACTTTAAGAATTTGTGCACGTGTGTGTGTGCTGTAAATGTATGTGAGTCTATGTATGTGGCGGGGGGTGTAGGTTCACGCGGGGCCATGGAAAGAAGACTCAGGCATCTTAAGAATGAATCTAGCCTGTCCTGGCTGCAGGGGGACTCAGCCACTTTGCAGACAGAGACTGAGAACTGAGCAGTTTTCCCTTAGCCTTAGGCTTCCAATTTACACCGTGGCAAGTTGATTTCCATACCCAAACATCTTAAGCTTCCAAAAGGACAATGCAAAATTCAAATTCTCAATAAGAAAGACCACAGTTTTCTGGTTTTCTTCCACCCAAGTTTTGCATAGGCTTTGCCGCCCTTGTGAAATTCTCATAGGGGATGCACATATGTTAAGCAGAAGGCGTTAAAGACAAAAGACAGATGACGGCTACCTGTGCCACTCAGGAGCCGGCTGCAGATGTGTAGGAGTTGCCGGCACCCTTACATATATAGGCCACATATGTGATGGTGCCCACAGAAGCCAGAAGACTTTGGATTCCCTAGAGTTGGAGTTTCAGGCAGTTGTGAGCCAGGGATTTGAATGTTGGGAACCAAACTCAGGTCCTTTGGAAGAACAGGAAGTACTCTTAACTGGAGGCCCACCACCCAGCTCCCAAATAAATCACAAACACTGAGGCTTACTATTACTTATGAATGTCCAGCCTTAGTTTGACTTGTTGCTAGTCAGCTTTTCTTAAATTATCTTGCCTACCTTTTCCCTCTGGGGTTTTATCTTTCTTTTATCTGTATATTTTACTTTCCTTCTTACTCCATGGCTGGCTGTGTGGCTGAGTGACTGGCCCCTAGTGTTCTCCTCTCCTTGTTGTCCTTGCTCCTCTTCCTTGTTTCTCCTTCTATTTATACTTCATCTGCCAGCCCCACCTATCATTGCCTTGCGATTGGTCATTCAGCTCTTTATTAGACCATCAGATGTTTTAGAATCATGGCCTAACAGAGTTAAACAAATGCAGCACAAACAGAAGTAACACACCTTGATATATTCCCCAACATAACTTGAGGTGGCGGTTGAAGTAACCAAGAAATTACAACATTGCAAAAAAATGTATCACTTACTTTAATACATTTATTCAATAGATTCACATCTATCTTTCATAATGTATACTTATAGATAAGACTATAAAATGATACAGCACCCTGGAGAAGAGTTTGGTGGTTTCTTATAAAATTGAGCATGCTGTAACCATAAAAACAAGCATACGAACCCTTGACACCTTAATGCCTCAGGTTCCCCAGTGCTGGGATTACAGGTATATGGTGCCACATCTGACTTCTTTCATATTATCTCAAAATCAAGATGGTATCTTCATGACCCAATAGAGTCTGTTGATTAGACCAATGGTCCCAGCTTGTGAAAATGAGCCACTGCCTTCAACCCTGTTAATTGTGATCTTTAAATTCTTGAGATGTGGAGGGCCACCTACAGATGTCCACAGTAAGTCACCTGTGTCACCTACCACCTGTTCCATGAGCATGCATTTCCCTCTGAGCTAGATATAGGAGGGGAGTTCTAAATGCTATCACTCCAAGAGGGAACTTTCTAGGTGGCAGTTGACTCAACTTTTCATCCAGTGCACAAATTTCAACTCAAACACCTTTGCATAGAAATATACATCTGTGTCAATATTTCAGCGAGTAGAATTCAATCTTTATTCGTGTGTGTGTGTGTGTGTGTGTGTGTGTGTGTGTGTGTAGGGCAGTGCAAGCAAAGTGACTCACTTCTCTCTTCTCCTTTTAGGCTCAAAGAGCTCCCCAACTATTTACATAAGCGTATCGATATATAGAGATTATTTGTCTCAGAAAAGGACATGACAAGTGTATTTAAATTGCTTCACTGTCGCTGCTTCCCTTTATTAGAGAAAGAAGAGGCTGTCCTCATATTTATCCCAAGCCCTCATCCCCTAAAGTGTCTAAACTGTTCCCCACTAACCAAGTACTTCCCACTAGTCAGGTAAAACGAGAGGTGCTACAGAGACCATTTTATTTTAATTCATAAATTAAATTTTACTAATTAATTAACTTTATTTATTGGAGATAGGATTTTACTATGTAGTACAGGCTGGCCTGGAGCTGAGAATCCCCCCCCATTTCTACCTCTTTAAATTCTGGGATTATAGAAATGGGTCACAGTGTCCAGTTCAGAGATATAATTTTTGGAAAGAAAACCTTTATGACACTAACAATGCTGCTACAGAAATATCTAACTTCTAGTGATTACACATTCTACCTACCCTTCATGAACTATATCTATATATACCCTATGAAGCTGGTGATGCGACCATCCCCCTTTTGAAGACAAAAGCATCAGAGAGTCATTTATCCAAGGCCAGCCCATGTTGGAGCTGTAGTCCAAAGGCAAACCGTGAACTCTTCAGAATTATCACAGCCTTAAGTGTATATTCTAATGGTGTTTGACCTAGGTGTACTCAGATTACCCCAATTCTTTTGTGAAACTCTTATCTACCCACTGGCATTTGACAAGGATTCCAGAAGAATTTCCTATAATAAGGAAATGCTATGGCCTGTGTTGTCCAAAAGGCAGCCACGAGCTTTAGCTGGCTCCTTAGAGCTTAAAGTATGATTAATAGTCTGGATAATCCTAACTTAACTGTATTCTATTACATTTAAATGACCACAGGGGCTGCTGGGTACCACACTGGCTAACACGGATGAAGAGGATGTTAATTTTGATTTCTTTGTGAAGACAAGACTCAGATGAATCACTTAATACTTGGTAATGAAATAGAGTGAGTGAAGGATCTTTAAATTAAAAGCACACCCTCCTCCCCAACCATGGAAGCTCAACTCCTTATTCTATTCAGGCGTTCACTGTAGTGACAAGCTATGATAATCATGCGATCCATCATGTAATCCCAGGGAGCTAATGAAGATAGTGACATTATTTGCCGTGCCTTTGAAAGGCTGAGGAACACTTCTTCAGCAATAGCCGCCACTTCAAACACGTTCTCAGTTATACTTTTGCCAAAGAGAAAAAAAAATTAAGGCTTATTTTATCCCTCAACAGTACCTAGGGTTCATAGACATAAAGGGGGGCTAGTTGGGGTTAAAACAGTGGGGCAGTAACTGTGGCTCAGTGACCATTTTCTGCAGAAACTGCACTCAAGGTTTAGACACTTTGTTAAGCAAACTGCAAAGCAGTTGTCCCAAGTGATTCCACATCATCTCTCATAGCATCCCTCTGTATGTCTGCATCCTGCAATCAGGTCATTCTGAATTGGGCCAGAATAGAAGGACTATTATATCTCTCACTTGCATGGGTTTTTAGATCAACCAGTCTCAGAACAGGGCTGAGCCACGGGCCTCCCTTCCTACACAGGACAACAAGTTCAGCCACTGCACTGCTCCATCTGACCTCCAAGATGCTAACTCCCCCTCCAGCTGTCTTATCACAACTTGGACTTGACATGCTGTTTTTCCTTTCTTTTTAAATTTTTATTTTACTCTTTGGAACAGAAATATAGCCTAGGCTAGTAGTTTAAGTTGACCTTAAATTTTTTTTAATCTTCCTAACTCATTCCCCCCCCCACTCCAAGAACTGGGATTACAGGACTATGTCAGTGTGTGTGTGTGTTCTCAAACTTTTTAAAACTAAGCTTAGACTTCAAAATTATAAAAGCATGTTATCAAAGAACTGTGAGACCACCACTAAACTTGTAGAGACCCCAAGACATGTTTTTCTTTTGATCCAAATAGAATCATCTTTTTATATTTTAGGAACAATTTTTCCCCCTTGCTAAAGGCTAAGTCATTTAACAAAAAGATGTCTAAAGAAAAAGGAGCAGTCTCTCCTCCTCAGATCATAAAGATGTAAACCCGACATCTACTGACTGTCAGTGCAAACCAGGAGATGATTCCATATTTACAGGACTATAAAAACATCACCTGCAGCTGAAATCCCAAAGTCACTACTCTTCAGTACTTTGCTCTGCCCTCCAGACTGGTAGCACCAAACAGCAGCGGCAACCAGGGGAGGCCCTGGGTGCTGTATGTGTGGGTGGCTTCGGACACACCGATCTTATCAGACCAGCTGCAGGCTACTGATTATATATAAATATATATTCCTTGATGTATTTAAGAGTGATCTTCGCAGCCGGATCCTCCGAGTCATCTTGCAGTGGTCGTCACGGGACTGTAAAGGGAGCAGCATCCAATACCAGGGGGAACTCTCAGGCACAGGGCCCGGGGTTGATGCAAAAACCTTCCCACCGATCTTCTCTCCAGTCTCCAGCCAAGAGTCGACTGGACCGCCCAATTGCTTCATTGCTTTGGCTATAATGATTGCAATTTGGCAGCTTACTGGATGTTGAACAGGGGACGGGAGAGGAAGGAGATGGTGGGCCCCGTTGCCAAAGTCAAGGCCGGAAAAGACAGAAGGTTGAATTTATGGTGGCCTGTGGTCCTGGACCTGGAAGGGAAAGTAAAGGGACCTTAACATTTTAGCAGGCGCCCCAACACCAGCTGTGCCCCTAAGCTTCATTTCCCTCCAAGATCCAAACCGTAGCCAGTTAGAAGGCATGCCATTAAGGGCCAGGTAAGCGGACGGTTCCCGGTATACAGATGGCCTGACAGTCGCCCGGGGCAGCGTCACAAAGGGCCGAGGCCTGCCGAGGCCGCGCGCGCAGCTCTCCGGGGCGGAGCCGCTGGGCCGGGTGTTGGGGGACTCGCGCCACCCCCGGGCTCTTCAGCCTGCGGCTCCGAGGTCGCACCGGGCAGGCAAGATGCCGCGGCTGCCTCCCGAACCGCTAAGCCGGGCCGCCGAGCTCTCGGGCCCCCGCCGCAGCGGACGAGCGCAGCGCGCGCCCCAGGTCGGGCGGAGCTAGAGGCGGGCACCGGGCGGGCGTCGCGCCACCGCAGCTCCCCGCCTTCCGCCTGGAGCGCGGCCGGTGCCCTGACTGTGGGCGCCGCAGCAGGCACCTGGGCGAGGCCTCGAGCATCCCGGTGGCGGCTGCTCGGGGCAGATCTGGACTTGGGGACCCCGCAGGAGCGCACCCCGCCGTTCTTGCCGCCTCGCTTCGCTCCTCTTCGGCGTCCGATCCTACCCCCACTCCCTGTCCCCTTCCTCCTCCCACCCCGGAGGATGCGCTCCCCCGCGCCCAGCGGCAGAGGCCACCGCTCCCAGAAATGCGTGCGCCCGAATCACTTCGCCCCGACCCGCGGAGCCCGCGCCCCCGCCCAGTAGGTAGGTGGCCGAGGCGGGGCCCGGCCTTGAAGGCCACCCGCTGCTGATGCTGCGGCCCGGGAGAACCGGGAGCCGCGGTCAGCAGACGCCAAACTTGCCTTCCTCCTGGGCTGCTAGCGCTCCGAGGTGTGCTAATGGCGTTGGGCGCAGCCCCCAGGGGACCTGAAACCCTCTGCTGGAACGTTCGAGGCCCAGCTGGGGCGTAGGGGCGCTGGACCCTTCCCGCCAACATTCCGGGGGACCCCTCGGTGGGGGTGGGAGTGCTTGGAAGGACAGGTTGGCGCGGGGCTTCTTCAGGGAGGAGACCATTGCCTTTTTCACTAGCTCAAGTAGACTATGTCATTGCATTTTAAAAGAGCATGGATCAGCTATCTCTTTAGCTAAAATGTAGATGTTGTTTTAGAGGTATTTTGGAGTGGTTGTGGCTGTTTGTGTGTTTTACCACTGGCCGAGTGGTATATGAAATCAGTGGTGCAAAAACTTTATTTTAGGTGCCAGTTTTAGGAAAATCCTTCTAGGAGTCAGATTACTTAGGTGATGGAAGAGGCCGGCGTCTAATCAGAGGATAAGCCAGAAGGGAAGCTATGAGGTTTGAGAGGTGCAAGTTGGATGGATACAGGTGTCGGAGTTGAGACTGAAAGATGCGCTTGTCAACCAGCAGAGGCAGTCTTGTCTCCAGCCGCCTCACTTCCAAATCAGAGCTGACCTTTGCCTTTCTGAGAAACTGATTGAGTCTTTCCCCCCCTTTTGTTCTATAAGTAAAATCCATACATTAGGGCTATTAGCAATATTATTTCCTCTTAGGCTGCCGATTTTCATTTTACACTAGACAACAAGGTTTAGAATTTTTGAAAAATGTATCATCGTAAACTCCCAATTTTATAGGCACGATTTTGGACTAGAGATTTTGGTGAACAAAATAAATACTAATACCAAGAGGACAGAATCTTCTTTTATTTCTCCCATTCTGTAATTCTTCTTCTTCGAATGCCTTTTAACTGTTTGTTGTTATTTGTTGAATGAATAAACTTGCATTTCACTATATGTATGTATAAAATCCCGCCCATTTAAAATGATAGTATGTTTTGTTTTGTTGCTAGTGCAATTAATTGTATTTTAAAAAATCGCTTCTTTCTATAAATGGGCAAACTTGGTATTTTTCATTGACATTTCTGGCCTCAGCAGCAAGGAAGGCAATTGTTCTCCATTTAGATTCATTCTGTGCCCATTTTCCAGTATTATAGCAATCGATTCTCTTTCAATGATACTTTCAAAAACAATTTAGAAAGCAGAGTTCATGTTTAAAAATATTCTTAAGTTATTCCAGAAGGAGCAGTGATCTGGTTAATAAGTAACGGCTTGTTTTAGAGTTAAACTGTGGTTTATTTTTAATATGTTTTCATTAAACTAAAGTGAAAACAAAACACTGAAGAGTCTATGGTTGCAAAGTGACCTCGCATATATTATATAGATACAGACTCAATTTGTTTTTCTTGTGAGGCTAAGGCCCAAGGCTTTCACTGTGTTAGGCTGATCTTGTTTGAGCTACGTCCTCAGCCCTAGAAATGACATTTTATCTATTTTCCTCTTAAAAATGAGCTATTTGGAAGATCCAGTGCCTTTTCTGTTTCAAAATATTATTTTAGGGGAAAAAGAGGGGAAAAAATCGCAGAAAGGATCAAACTGGATGCAAGGACAGCTCTATCACCTTCTGTTTACTTTTACATGATTAAAGTTTTGATTTGTCTTTCTTTCCTGTCACAGAAATTTAGTGAGCTGTTATTAACTTGTTTAGTTCTCTCCTTTGTGCATTTGTCTGGCAGAGAATATCTTCTGATTTTTGTGTGTCTCTCCCTTCCTCACTAGCCGTAATATTACCCAGAATCCTTAGCTGGTAAATAAGGTGAAGCATAGTATATTACTGTTTCTTCTCTAATCTAGTTGGATTGTTTCAAATATGGGTAAAGGAAACCTTTTAGATAAAAAGCAGGAAAACTGGGGAAATCATGGAAAGAGAGCTGTGAACAAACCAATGGTTATAGTTAATGAAAGCAAAGCAGGTTCCCATTCCCAATAAAGATAAAAGCATTTTTAGAGTCTTACTTATAATCAAAGGGTATTGCACAATTCATTTGCATTTTTCTTTCTTGCCAACCTGATACTTTTTAAAAGAACCGGTGGTTGCACTGAACCTTTTGCTTCTTTTAAAATTGTTATATTTTTATAAGTGTGGGGTGTCTGTGCACCTGCAGATGTGTCTATGCACCATGTGCGTGCAGTAACTGCAGAGGGCAGAAGGGGGCATCAGATCTCCTGAGACTGGCGTTAGCAGGGTGAGCCACTATGTAGATGTTTGGAATCAAACTCTGGTCCTCTGCCCTTGCTCTTAACCACTGAGCTATTTCTCTAGCTGCCCCTGCCCCACCTCACCAGTTATTCTGTTCGTTTAACAAGTAGAATTTGAACACTTTCACAATGTGCTGTAACTTTATGCTCTGGAATTAGTCAACCAAATAAGAAACTTTTCCTTATGTTGTATCTCCACGACATGATGTCAAGAGCCAACTGCAACCCTGCCTCCCATGTGCAGCACCACAGTAATGCAATACCAAGCTTAGGTTTCTGCATTTTATCTTTCTGTATTTTATTCCCGCTGTCATTTTATTTAGTTGTTTGTTTTTGAGGTTTTTTCAAGACAGGGTTTCTCTGTATAAAAGCTTTGGCTGTCCTGGAACTCTCTTTGTAAACCAGGCTGGTGTCAAGCTCACAGAGATCCTTCTGCCTCTGCCTCCGAGAGCTGGGATTAAAGGTGTGAGCTATTATACCAGGCTCCTGCCAGCCTTTATGAAACCCGTCTGTTCTTTGTTAAATGTGTAGTTTTTTAATCTCTCCCATAATTTTCTTTTACATTAGACAGAATCCTCTCAATTCACATATACTAGAATCAAAATTGTTAGGATTGTGGGAAAATATACAGAAGTAAATTTGTGTAATCTTGAATTTCAAATACAGGAAATGTATGGTTGAAGAAAAAAATTGTGTTTGTCCTCTCACTAGGTACATGAAATGAATTTGTGTATTCTGCACACACAAGAGAATATATATTGTATTTAATTTTAATAAGATCGGCCAGGTGGTGGTACATGCCTCTAATTCAAGCTCTCAGGAGGCAGAGATTCAAGGCCAACCTGGTTTACAGAGCAAGTTTTAGAACAGCCAGGCCTACAGAGAGAAACTCCGTCTCAAAAAAACAATAACAAAAAAGTGATAAGACTGATGGATTAAAAGCTGTTTCAATTGAACAAATGCCTTGCCATCTACAGTCTTCCTCTTGTCTAGAACAGTCTAGCTGGAGCTTTCTAAACTGTGTGCCTTGGTTTCCTTGTTCAGCATGCTTGACATCCCTCCGTTGTGTGCACTGTGAAAGATTCTCTGAGCAGACAGTGGGGAAAAAAGCTGCTGGTAGATCACTTCATAGGTGGGATTAGAGGAAGCGTCCCTATACCGCTCCTCTTTAAAGTCCCTGCAAGAAATTCTATTGGTCCCTAGGTGCCAAAGCCAAGCCATCCCTCCCCTGAACAGCCACTATGTGTGACTCTATTTCCATTACTCAAAGAGAGAACCAGATAGATGTCTCTATTTCCATCTTGTTGACTAGGAATTCAAGTCAGATGTACAACTCAAATTGTAATAATGGTGTGAAAAAAAACGTGTTATTAGTATTAGTGTTCTAAGTCCCCCTTGTGCAGCTTCTGTTTTACCCTGTTTCTCTTGAATTTGATCATTATCTAATTATAGTTCTCCTATTTCATTGAATTGCTTTATTTTAGATGACTCATCCTTAATGGAACAAGAAATAAATACAAAACATGAAGCCAAATAAATGAAGGCATTGCATAGTTGACCTCTGGACACAGGGTGTTTCTGATGAACCCATTTCAGATGGGATGCATTAGATGAGTTTTGAGCAAGTATTAAAATTTTGATACATTGGTGCTTGTGTTTACAGACAAACGGGAAACAGTATCATGCAGATTTATAAAACTAAATCCCACTTTTGTAAAGTCAAGTTCTACTTCTTTTTGAACTGTTGCACATCCGTGGCTGTTGGGAGTTGGTGACACCTTTCTACTTAGCTCACTTCCTTCTGGAACATCCACCTCATAGCTTGCTTTAGGTCAGAGAAAATGTTCTCTATAGCTGAACTAGCTGAACGGTCATTGCGCTGGCCAGTCTCACTTCCGTGTCCCCAGGCTGTGTGACTTAGCCTTGTTCTAATACGTCACCGCGGTCACCGCGGTCATTCTTCTCAGTGCCTTCAATTTGCCATCGTGTTTCAATGAGTGAGTTCCCTGAGTGAACTGGCCAGACTCTTCCCATTGTGGAGTCATGACAGCTAGGTTAAACCAGGTCAGTCGTTATTTACCACTGTGTGATACAATGATTGATGTGTTTGTATCTCAGGCTCACATAGGAATGGTCCCTCCTCTTTCATAGCTGGAAACCTGGACTCTGGCTTAAAAACCGTCTTAATTCAAGTGCAACTTGACATGTAGCATGAAGTTAGAGGAAGGTTTTCAAATAGACACATCTCCTTTAATTACCTTCAATTCTTTTTAGAAGCAGTTTTTTTTTTTTTAGACTAAATAATAGCTTCCAATGGCTTGCAAGGTGTGCACTGAACGTTTCCTCTCATTCCCAGACTCTGCTTTCCTGTCCATGGGTAGCCAGGGAGATTGTGGTTGAAAATCCTGCAGGGAGAGTTTTTTCTTAATCATATAGAAGTGTGAACAGAAAGCCTACTCATTTTCTCTCTACTATTTCTCTAACTCATCCTGTTCCCACCACCTGATCTGACATTCTATTTCCATTTGTGTCTCCACTAGCCTTACTGCTAAAGTTCCCTCTTCAGACTTTGTACACGGTCCCTGCAATGCATGCTTCTTTTAGCTTGCTCTTTTGGGCTCTGAAAACTTCATCTCCTGCCCCTCCCTCCTTGA